TCCCTCGTCACAGTGGCCTTGGGAATCTTCCTGAGACAGCTCAGGCCTTTCGTCTGAGCTTAACTCAGGCCCAGGCAAGCCCTCAGATCCACCATCAGGAACCCCATCCCCATCATGAACATCAAACACAATCACAGGCTGAACAGACTGACATACAACATATTATATGTTCATCCACAACTTTTTTATGACATAGGATGCAAAACATTTTAACCCACCCGCCCCAAGGGGACTCAGAGTGGATTACAGCATATAAACAGGCACAGGTAAACATTCAGTGCCTTCTTACAATGACATACAATGAGACACAAATACACAGACAAAGGCAAAGGCTTCTCCTTTCATTTCCGGCTCTGGATGAGGTACTCTTTCTCCATTTCCAAGCCAAGGAGTCTGCGTTGTCCGTAGACACCACCTGGTCATGTGGCCGGCATGATTTCTTAGAGCGCCTTTTTGTCTTTTCCCACCAAATTGCTCCCTACTCACATTTGTATCTTTTCAAACTGCTAGGTTGGCAGGAGCTAGGGCTAACAGTGGGAGCTCACCCCGTCTTGTAGATTCAAACTGCCAACCTTCTGGTCAGCTGTTCAGCAACACAAAGGTTTAACCCATTGCGCCAACATGGCCCTGATATACATATTGCTTGACCACCATCAGATCCTCTGACAATGCCAGCCATAGATGCAGGCAAAACATCTGGAGAAAATGCTGCTAGATGTTGTAGTTCAGCCTGTGATTGTGTCTGATGTTCATGATGGGAATGGGAATGAAGGTCTTTCTGGGCCTGGGTCTGTTGGCAATGGGGATGAGGGCTTGCCTGGGCCTGAGTTAAGCCCAGACAAGAGGCCTGAGGTGTCTCATGAAGATTCACAAGGCAACATTCCTGAGAGAGGCCCTCAACAGTCTTCCTCTGAGAAACTGTCTTCTGAAGATGAATCGTCAGGTGCAAAATTTAATGAGAGTGACGATAGAAGGCAAGACATTTGTAAACAGATGCATAGTTCTCAGGCACATAGAAGGTCAATTTGTCTGCAGGAAAAGAGAGATAAGAAACCCTTATCTGGTTGTAAGGGCAAGAGAAATGCTTTCCTTTCGGTTCAGGGATCAGGAAAAGCTTTATATTAATACAAGGCTAAAGAGTTAGCTCAGTCTTGGCAACGTTGGAATTTCATGATGATCTTGGTTTCAAATGTTCCTAGTTTCATGTACCAATTTTTGCTAGGTTCCTGATTGGATTTTCAGGTCAGAGGAGTTCCTCTAGAGTACAACACTAGAACACATTGCCTATACAACTGCACTACACCCCAGTGATTCTGGCTGTGAAAGCTTTCAACAATGCATTAAATATAACATGATTATGGACTTCTTTTCTTCTGCCTCTTTGTAGGAGATGGGGCCACGGCAGGAGGACCCTTGCAGGCCTCGGCGGAAGCGGACGAAGATGCAGGGGAGGCCTTTGATTTCGAGGAGAGCGAAGAGGAGGAGGACGAAGAAGAGGACGGCACGCGCCTAGTGGTCAGCGGTGCCCGGACGGAGCTGGGCTGCAGGGGAGCCCTCCAAGACCCCCCTCCCAGGCGCAGGTCCAGCATCAGCGACGACCTGGAGCCCTTGGACGAGTGGGAGGCCGAGGAGGCACTCCTCGAGGACCGGAACCCCCTGCTGACCTCCTCAGATTCTGGCAGCCATCTTGGTAAGAACAGATGCAGCGAGCCTCTAAGCAGCGATCCCCAAACTCTGGTCCCCCAAGTGTTTTTGACATCGCCCCGTTGTTCCCAGGCCCAAGTACACAACCAGCGCCAAATTGCAGGTTTTCCATGAGGGGCAAAAAACTTCCCTGGACAGATGGCCATGCAGCCTCTGAATGAGAATAATAATGACAAAGTTCTGTTCTTGGCTTGAAAGTGTTTAATAATGCAGTCCGAATTTTGCAAGTAGTGGTCCTATTCCGCAAACTTCATTCAAGGTGTGGAGGACGAAGTTTCTCTCGCCAGGACAAAGTTTTAACCCTCTAGTCAACGTCCGTCATCTTTTCAGGAGAGAAGCAATTAGGAACAAATATGCATAACCCAGGAACAAGACTTGTACAGATGATGTGCAGATTCGCATCTGTGCATTTGCCGAAAATTCCAGTGAATGTCCCACCATGGCCATCTTGCAGGCCTCGAAAGCCTGTAACTAAGCAGTGAGCCTGGGCATCGCAGGCAGAAATCCCACAACCCAGGTATTTTTGCTCCTCATGGAAAACCTGAAATTTGGTGTTGCCTGGAAGCGCCCTGGGAAACACGGCAATTTTAGAAAAATATTCTGGGAACATGAGCCTCTAGTCATCATGTTTGAACTGGTCTCTGACCTGTTCTCCTGTGTGCAGACCTGCTCTCCAGTCCCAGGTTTCTTTTGCTCCCTGTGGAAACCCCACAATTTGGTGCTGCCTGGAAGCACCCTGGGAAACACTGCAACTTTAGAAAAATATTTCAGGAACATGAGCCTCTAGCCATTGTGTTTGAACTGGTCTCTGACCTGTTCTCCTGTGTGCAGACGTGCTGTCCAGTCCCGTTTTTTTTTGCTCCTCTTGGAAAACCCGCAGTGTTGTGTTGCCTGGAAGTGCCCTGGAAAAGACGGCAACTTTAGAAAAATATTTCAGGCATATGAGCCTCTAGTCATTGTGTTTGAACTGGTCTCAGAACTGTTCTCCTGTGTGCGGACCTGCTCTCCGGTCCTGGATTTTTTTTTTTGCTCTTTGTGGAAAACCTGCAGTTTGGTGCTGCCTGGAAGTGCCTGGGAAACACTTCAACTTTAGAAAAATATTTTGGGAACATGAGCCTCTAGCCATTGTGTTTGAACTGGTCCCACACCTGTTCTCCTGTGTGCATATGTGCACTCCAGTCCCGTTTTTTTTTTTTGCTCCTCATGGAAAACCCGCAGTTTGGTGCTGCTTGGAAGTGCCCCAGGAAACACAGCAACTTTAGAAAAATATTTCAGGAAAATGAGCCTCTAGCCATCTTGTTTGAACTGGTCCCTGACCTGTTCTCCTGTGTGCGGACTTGCTCTCCGGTCCCGGGTTTCTTTTGCTCCTCGTGGAAACCCCACAATTGGGTCCTGCCTGGAAGCGCCCTGGAAAACACTGCAACTTTAGAAAAATATTTCAGGAACATGAGCCTCTAGCCATTGTGTTTGAACTGGTCTCTGACCTGTTTTCCTGTGTGTGGATGTGCTCTCCGGTCCCGTTTTTTTTTTGTGCTCCTAATGGAAAACCCGCAATTTGGTGCTGCCTAGAAGCGCCCCGGGAAACACGGCAACTTTAGAAAAATATTTCAGGAACATGAGTCTCTAGCCATTGTGTTTGAACTGGTCTCAGACCTGTTCTCTGTGTGCGTATGTGCTCTCCAGTCCCGGGTTTCTTTTGCTCCTCATGGAAAACCCGCAGTTTGGTACTGCCTGGAAGCGCCTTGGGAAACACTGCAACTTTAGAAAAATATTTTGGGGACATGAGACTCTAGCCATTGTGTTTGAACTGGTCTCTGACCCGTTCTCCTGTGTGCGGACGTGCTCTCCGGTCCTGTTTTTTTTTGCTCCTCATGGAAAACCCGCAATTTGGTGCTGCCTGGAAGCGCCCCGGGAAACACGGCAACTTTAGGAAAATATTTCGGGAACATGAGCCTCTAGCCATTGTGTTTGAACTGGTCTCTGACCTGTTCTCCTGTGTGCGGACATTCTCTCCAGTCCCGGGTTTTTTTTTTTGCTCCTTATGGAAAACTCACAATTTGGTGCTGCCTGGAAGCGCCTTGGAAAACACTACAACTTTAGAAGAATATTTCAGGAACATGAGTCTCTAGCCATTGTGTTTGAACTGGTCTCAGACCTGTTCTCCTTAGAAGGGCTTTATTTTGTCAATTCCAATCAGACCCCATCTACGTCGCCATAAATAATCCAGATTACTGCTTTGAACGGGATTATATGGCAGTGTAGACTCAGCACCCTTCTACACGGCCATAAAATCCAGAATGCAGATCATCCTCATTATCTGCTTTGAAATAGAATGCCTGAGTCTACACTGACAGATAATCTAGATTTTATACAGCTGTGTAGAAGGGGCCTCCTATAATCCCATGTGGATGATGTGCTTTGATAATCTGGATTATATGGCAGTGTAGAAGGGGCCTTGTTGTTGTTGTGCCTTTGAGAACCAGAACATCCCAATGGACTTGGTTAGGTCTTGGAGAGGAGACCCCCAATGAATCCCAGGCTGTATTTTGGACATACACTGCCGTATAATCCAGATTAAAGCAAATAATCCACTTGATAGTCTGGATTATATGGCAGTGGAGGAGGGCCTTCCTTCATGCTGGACAGACAGTTTGCAAATTGCAAAGGGTTCTATTGTCCACCAATATTTGTACTATGGTGTGCCTTTAACATCCTTCCTAATGGGAATTGGAGTCCATTCTACCAGCTGAATCCAATCACATCAACGATGAGAACGGGCAGGAGGAGCTGCAGATTGGGTCTGAAAACATCTTGCTCCCCAAGGTCTTTCCCATGAGGAAAGGTAGGACCCAGGGAATGTTTTCATTGCTCGACAAATAGAAGGAAAGACTGCAAAGAGTCGCCTGTAGTGGTGTTTGTAAAGTGGTCTTATCTTTGGAAGGCCTCCAGCTGACATCGTATTCACTTTGCATTTGTTTTTGCAGATCCTTTTGGTTCCCAAACACAGACAGAGTAAGTGGATTCCCAATTCCTTGGACGCATGTTGCCTTTCCTTCCTTCTTCCTTCCCTCCCTTTTGTCTTTCCTTCATCCATCCCTCCCCTTTGTCTTTCCTTCTTTCTTCTTTCCTTTCCTTTTGTTTTTCCTTCCTTCTTCCATCCCTCCCTTTTGTCTTTCTTTCTTTCTTTCCTTCTTTCTTCCTTCTATTTTGTCTTTCCTTCCTTCTTCCTGCCTTCCTTCCATCCTTCTCTACCTCTGTCCCTTCCCTCTTTCCTTCCTCTTTCCCTCACTCTCTTCCTTCCTCTCTTCCCTTTCCTCTTTACCTCACCCTTTCTTCTCTCCCTTCCCTCTTTCCTCCCTTCCACTCTTCCTTCCATCCATCCTTCTTTTCCTTCTCTCTTTCCTTCCTCCATCTCTCCCTTTCTTCCTCTTTTTCCCTCCCTCCCTCTTCCATTCCACCCTTTCATCCTTCCTTCCCCCTTCCTTCTTTCCTTCCCTTTTTCTTTCCTTCATTTTGTCACCCTCCATTCTCTTCCTTCCTTCCTTCCATCCTTCTTTCTCTCCCTCTTCCCTCTCTCCCTACCTTCCTTCTGTCTTTCCTTCCTTCTGACCTTCCCTTTTGTCTCTCCTTCATTTTCCCTCCCCCATTCTCTTCCTTCCTTTCTTCCTTCCTTCCTTCCTTCTCTCCATCCTCTCCTTCATTCTCCCTCCCTCCATTCTCTTCCTTCCTTCCCTCCCTCCTTTTCATCTCTCCTTCATTCTCCCTCCCTCCATTCTCTTCCTTCCTTCCCTCCCTCCTTTTCATCTCTCCTTCATTCTCCCTCCCTCCATTCTCTTCCTTCCTTCCCTCCCTCCTTTTCATCTCTCCTTCATTCTCCCTCCCTCCATTCTCTTCCTTCCTTCCCTCCCTCCTTTTCATCTCTCCTTCATTCTCCCTCCCTCCATTCTCTTCCTTCCTTCCCTCCCTCCTTTTCATCTCTCCTTCATTCTCCCTCCCTCCATTCTCTTCCTTCCTTCCCTCCCTCCTTTTCATCTCTCCTTCATTCTCCCTCCCTCCATTCTCTTCCTTCCTTCCCTCCCTCCTTTTCATCTCTCCTTCATTCTCCCTCCCTCCATTCTCTTCCTTCCTTCCCTCCTTCCTTCCTTCCTTCCTCCTCCCTCTTTCTTTCCTCCTCCCTTCCTCCTTTCTTCCCTCCGTCCCTTCCTTCCTTCCTTCTCCTTCCTTCTCCCCTTCATTCTCCATCTTCCTTCTCTTCCTTCCTTCTCCTTCCTTCCTCTCCCTTTCCTCTCGCCTTTCCTCTCCCTTTTTCCTCCTTCCTTCCCTCCTTTCGTCTTTCCTTCATTCTCCCGCCCTCCATTCTCTTCCAGACTTCCTTCCTTCGTTCATCCCTCTCTACCTCCCTCTCTTCCCTCTTTCTTCTCTCCTTCTCTGTCTCTTTTTCTCCTTCCTCCCTCTCTTCCTCCCTTCTCTTTTGTCTTTCTTCCCTTCCCTCCCTCTACCATTCCCTTTCACCCTTCTTTCCCTCCATCCTTCTTCCCTCCTTTTCATCCTTCCATCCCTCTTCCTTCCCTCCTTCCCCTCCCCTCTCCTTCTCCTTCCTTCCTTCCTTTGGTAGGAATGGCAGGAAAGGGGAAAGGGAGATTTCCAAGGGGTTCTCTCTCCCTCTCTCTCTCTCTCTCCCAATGATGGCCTTCAATTTGGAATATTGGGACTCTGAGTGACAGAAGCGCAATGCTGCCGCCCAGTGGCGGCCGCAGGGAAACACAAGAGAAAGAAAGAGAAGTGTATATTCACATACAACTTTCCAAGGCAGTATTTGTTCTCCTTCCTTCTTCTTCCCTTCTTTCTTCCTCACTTTCTTCTCTCCTTTTTTCTTCCTTCCTTCCTTCCATCCTTCGTTTTCTTCTTTCCTTTCTCCTTCCTTCTGTTCTTCCCTTTCTTTCTCTCCTTCTTCCCTTCCTCCCTTCCCCCTTCCTTCCTTCTTCTTCCTCCCTCTTCCTCTTCTTTTTCTTCTCTTCTTCTTCCTTCCTCCTTTCCTCTCTTCTCTTCCTTTTCCCTTCCTTCCTTCCCTCCCTCCTCCCTTTCCTTTCTCTTTTCTCTCCCCTTCCTTCTTTTTTCCTTCTTTCTCTCCTTTCCCCTTCCTTCCTTTCTTTCCTTTCTCTTTCCTTCTCTTCCTCCTTCTTCTTTCTTCTTTTTCCCTCTCTTCTCTTCTTTCCCTTTCCCCTCCTTCCTTCTTCTCTCCTTCCTTCCTCCTCTCCCTCCTCTTTCCTTTCTCTTTCTTTTTCTTCCTCCCTCTCTTCCTTCTTTTCTCCCTTTCTTCTCTCCTTTCCCTTCCTTCCTTCCTTCCTTCTTTCCTTCCTTCTTCTTCCTCTCCTTCCCTTCTTTCCTTTCTTTCCTCTCTCCTCTCTCTCTCTTACCTTCTTTTCTCCCCCTTCTTCCTTTCCCTTTCTTCTTCCTTCATTCTCTCCTTTCTCTCCTTCTCTTTCCTCTTCTCTCCTTTCTTCCTTCTTTTTCCTTTTCTTCTTCCTTTCCCCTTTCCTCCCTCTCTTCTCCTTTCCCTTCCTCCTTCTTCCTTTTTCTCTTCCTTCTCTTTCCTCCCTCTCTTCTTCTTTCCCCTCTCTTCTCCTTTCCCTTTCCCCTTCTCCCTTTCCTCCTTCTTTCTTTCTTTTTTTTCTTCCTCTTCTCCTTTCTCTCTCCTTCCCCTTCCTTCTTCCTTCCCTCCTCCCTTTCTTTCCCTTTTCTTTCCTCTCTTCCTCTCTCTCTTCCTCTTTTCTCCCTCTCTCCTCCTTCCCTTTGCTCCTTCCTTCATTCTCTCCGCTCTTTCCTTTCTCTTTCCTTCTCTTCCTCCCTCTCTTCTTTCTCTTTTCCTTTTCTTCTCTCCTTTCCCCTTCCTTCCCTTTCTTCTCTCCTTTCCTCTTCCTTCCTTACTTCCCTTCTTTCCTTTCTCTTCTTCTTTCTCCTCTCTTCTTCTTTTCCTTTCTTCCCCCTTTTCCTTGCTTTCTGATGGTCCAGAGTGCACAAACATTGTTTCATGCACAATATGGAATCATACAATCATAGAGTTGGAAGAGACCTCATGGACCATCCAGTCCAACCCCATTCTGCCAAGAAGCAGGAATATTGCATTCAAAGCACCCCTGGCAGATGGCCATCCAGTCTCTGTTTAAAAGCTTCCAAAGAAGGAGCCTCCACCACACTTCCTCTTTCTTTTCCCTTCTCTTCCTTCTTTCCCCTCTCTTCTCCTCCTTTTCTTTCCCTTCTCTCCTCCTCCTTCCTTCTTTTCTTTCTTTCTTCTTCCTCCCTTCCTTTTTTCTTTCTTCTTCTCCTTCCCTTCTCCCTCCTTTCCTCCCTTCTTCCTTTCTTTTCCTCCTTCCTCCCTCTCTTCTTCCCCTTCTTCCTTTTCCTTTGTCCCTCTCTCCTTTCCTCTCCCCCTTTTCTTTCCTCTTCTCATTTCCTTTTCTTTTTTCCCTTCCACTTTCCCTTCCCTTTCTCTCTTCCTCCCTCCCTTCTTTTCTCCCTTTCTTCTCCTTTCCCCTCCCTACTTTCCTTTCTCCTTCCTCCCTCCCTCCCTCCCTTCTTTTGCATCCACAGAGGGCCGTGAAGACTATAAGGTGGGTGTTGAAAGGGGGAAATAGGATCCCGTTGACTCCTAGAGCTGCGGAGAGACAAGCATATTGATCGCTGGCTGGCGTTGGCATCCATTCGCAGAGTCAGCAAGGAAGAGAAGGATTGTGCTGTAATGCGGTGGCAGGGAGACGCCCACAAGAGAAGAGAAAGAGAGATACATAGCTAGATATATATATATATAGATAGAATGCTGGAGTAACTTTGAGAAGTGGGAACTTTACTGGGGGGGGGGGGTAGAGGCTCCATAAATTTCCGCATTGGAGAATCGGCATATTTTCAAGGCTGCTCTTCTTGCTTTCAGTGTTCTGGGCTTTGTGAGCAATGGAGACGTTGGGACACCTCAAACCGGGACGCGGGCCTACAGCTGGAAAAGGAAGAGCTTCCGCCGAACCAAGTCAACAGGTACTGCAAATCAATAAGTTTAAAAAAATTACATCAATACAGCTGTCTTTGTTTCCTCCTGATGGTGGGAATGTTTTGGTTAGATCTGTTGTCAGGAAAACAGAAAGTGGTTCCATTGAGACTCGGCCAGGGATTGACTCGGAAAGGAACATCGAGGAGACAGGAGGGCTACTGATAACCCAGCGTTTGCAGATCAGAAGGGATAGGGCAAAACAGAGACAAATTAGTTCTTCCCAGAGACTGAGAGATAAACAAAGGGAACCCAGGTGTGAGAGAGATAATGTCATGGGCAAGAGGGAGGATTCTTGAGAAATCGTTCTTCCCAGAGGCTGAAACATAAGCAAAGGGAACCCAGGTGTGAGAGAGATAATGTCATGGGCAAGAGGGAGGATTCTTGAGAAATCGTTGTACCCAGAGGCTGAAACGTAAGCAAAGGGAACCCAGGTGTGTGAGAGGAAATGTCATGGGCAAGAGAGAGGATTCTTGAGAAATCGTCATTCCCAGAGGTGGAAACATCAGCAAAGGGAACCCAGGTGTGAGAGAGATAATGTCATGGGCAAGAGGGAGGATTCTTGAGAAATCGTCATTCCCAGAGGTGGAAACATCAGCAAAGGGAACCCAGGTGTGAGAGAGATAATGTCATGGGCAAGAGGGAGGATTCTTGAGAAATCGTCATTCCCAGAGGTGGAAACATCAGCAAAGGGAACCCAGGTGTGAGAGAGATAATGTCATGGGCAAGAGGGAGGATTCTTGAGAAATCGTCATTCCCAGAGGTGGAAACATCAGCAAAGGGAACCCAGGTGTGAGAGAGATAATGTCATGGGCAAGAGGGAGGATTCTTGAGAAATCGTTCTTCCCAGAGGCTGAAACATAAGCAAAGGGAACCCAGGTGTGAGAGAGATAATGTCATGGGCAAGAGGGAGGATTCTTGAGAAATCGTTCTTCCCAGAGGCTGAAACATAAGCAAAGGGAACCCAGGTGTGAGAAAGCGTAATGTTATTTATTTATTTATTTATTTATTTATCTATTTACGACATTTATATGCTACCCTTCTTACCCTGAAGGGGACTCAGAGCGGCTTACAAGGTATATATACATACAATATTATTACCATAGCACCATATCAGTATTATATATTACTATATTATATTATACCATTATATGGTAATATTATTGGTAATATTACATGTAATATAGAATAATTATAGCATCATATTATTATTAGTATTATATTATATTATTATATATTACTATATTGTTCTATGCCATTGTACAGTCATATTATTAGTAATATTACATGGAATATAAAATATATAATTATAGCATTGTATTATTATTATTAGTATTATTATATATTACTATATTGTACTATACTTACTTACTTAGGCAATCCCTCGTTGTCTGAGTAGGATAGTCTTCCAGGGTGGGCCCGAAGGTGACTGTAGAGCCCAATTCTTGATCCGCATCTTCTTCCGCAGTGAGGGCATTGGTTTCCAGGTGGAAGGTGGTCCCGGTCGGGGTTGGCTTGACGCGCCTTCCTCTTGGCACGCTTCTCTCTTTCGCCCTCCATTCATGCCTCTACAAATTCTGCAGCACTGCTGGTCTCAGCTGATCTCCAGCTGGAGCATTCATGGGCCAGGGCTTCCCAGTTCTCAGTGTCTATGCCAGAGATTTTAAGGTTGGCTTTGAGCCCATCTTTCAATCTCTTTTCAACATTCCATTTTCCGTTCTTGAGTTCGGTGTAGAGCAACTGCTTTGGGAGACGCTGGTCAGGCATCTGAAGCATTAGAATTCTTAACTGTGGTGTGGTAATGTTCATCAGGAGATTAATGTTGGATTGTTCTGCATCAAGTTGCCTGCCTTGGGAGCTCCGAGTTAGGCGTTCTTGTCTTTGGTTCTGTATTTTGCTTCTGTTCAACCATTTCAAAGCTTGCTTCTTGAGCGGTGATGGCACGATTGTCAGCATAGATGAAACTCTATCCCTTCTGGCAGTGGCTGATCATTTGTGTAAATGTTAAACATTGATGGAGCAAGCTGGTTTTCCCTGTAATTGGCAGTAAGATCACCTACAGCTTCGGTGAGCTTCTACTCAACCATTTCAAAGCTCCCTTCTTGGGTGGTGATGGCACGATCGTCAGCATAGATGAAACTATCCCTGGTGACAGTGGCTGATCATTTGTGTAAATGTTAAACATTGGTGGAGCAAGATGGTTTCCCCTGTAATAGGTAGTAAGAACGCCTAAAGCTTTGGGAAGCTTCTGTTGAACTATTTCAAAGCTCCCTTCTTGGGTGGTGATGGCATGATCGTCAGCATAGATGAAACTCTCTATCCCTTCTGGCAGTGGCTGATCATTTATGTAAATGTTAAACATTGATGGCGCAACCTGTTTTTTCCTTGTAATAGGCAGAACGAGCACCTAAAGCTTCAGAGATCTTCTGTTCAACCATTTCCAAGCTCCTTGCTTGGGTGGTGATGGCACGATCGTCAGCATAGATGAAATGCTCTATCCCTTCTGGCAATGGCTGGCCATTTGTGTAAATGTTAAACATTGATGGAGCAAGCTGGTTTTCCCTGTAATAGGCAGTAAGAGCACCTACAGCTTCGGTTAGCTTCTACTCAACCATTTCAAAGCTCCCTTCTTGGGTGGTGATGGCACGATCGTCAGCATAGATGAAACTCTCTGTCAGTGGCTGGTCATTTGTATAAACATTAAATATTGATGGAGTAACCTGGTTTTCCCTGTAATAGGCAGTAAGAGCACCTAAAGCTTCGGTGAGCTTCTGCTTCACCATTTCAAAGCTCCCTTCTTGAGCGGTGACGGCACGATCGTCAGCATAGATGAAACTCTCTGTCCCTTCTGACAATGGCTGGTCATTTGTGTAAATGTTAAACATTGATGGTGCAAGCTGGTTTTTCCTTGTAATAGGCAGAAAAAGCACCTAAAGCTTTAGAGAGCTTCTGTTCAACCATTTCCAAGCTCCTTGCTTGGGTGGTGATGGCACGATCGTCAGCATAGATGAAGCTCTCTGTTCCTTCTGGCAATGGCTGGTCATTTGTGTAAATGTTAAACATTGATGGAGCAAGCTGGTTTCCTTTGTAATAGGTAGTAACAGCACCCAAAGCTTTGGGGAGCTTCTGTTGAACTATTTCAAAGCTCCCTGCTTGGGCAGTGATGGCATGATCGTCAGCATAGATCAAACTTTCTATCCTTGGTGACAGTGGCTGATCATTTGTGTAAATGTTGAACATTGATAAGCAGTAAGAGCACCGAAAGCTTCGGAGGGCTTCTGTTCAACCATTTCAAATCTCCCGGCTTGAGCGGTGATGGCATGATCGTCAGCATAGGTCATCACTGTACCCAAGACTGATTTCTTGGATTGGAAAGGAGGCAGGCTCTGAAATCTGGCAACCTGCCATTTCCGGGTGATCTAATTTTTCCTTTGGTTTGCTTCACGCTGCCTTCCTCTTTGTGTCAATCCCTTCCAGGTGGGCAGGTTGTCCCTGCTGCTGCTGAAGAAGATGTGATCTATGATGACGTCCCTTATGAAAACGTGGAGCCGGAGCACCGTGGTACGGCGCCTCCTCGGGTGCCTCCTTTTTGGTTTCATCTGGTTCCTCTTCGATCTAAGCACCCTTTGATGACCCTCTTTCTCTTTTCTTTGATTTCTAGTGGGTTCCTACACTCATCTCCCATCTATTTGCTGTCCTAATTTGTGTTGACTTCTTTCCACTCCTAGGAAACAAATGCAACAACAATGCAACCTGGTTCGAGCCTTAAAGGGCTGCTCTGTCTTTAGTCGAAAGATGCCTGCTTGGTGGAGGACTCTTGGACATGTTTATGAAAGCCTTCCCTTGGTTGGTGGGCAGTGTGGTGTTGGTGGAGGACTCTTGGACATGTTTATGAAAGCCTTCCCTTGGTTGGTTGGCAGTGTGGTGTTGGTGGAGGACTCTTGGACATGTTTATGAAAGCCTTTCCTTGGGTGGTGGGCAGTGTGGTGTTGGTAGAGGACTCTTGGACATGTTTATGGAAGCCTTCCCTTGGGTGGTGGGCAGTGTGGTGTTGGTAGAGGACTCTTGGACATGTTTATGAAAGCCTTTCCTTGGATGGTGGGCAGTGTGGTGTTGGTGGAGGACTCTTGGACATGTTTATGAAAGCCTTCCCTTGGGTTGGCAGTGTGGTGTTGGTGGAGGACTCTTGGACATGTTTATGAAAGCCTTCCCTTGGGTGGTGGGCAGTGTGGTGTTGGTGGAGGACTCTTGGACATGTTTATGAAAGCCTTCCCTTGGGTAGTGGGCAGTGTGGTGTTGGTGGAGGACTCTTGGACGTGTTTATGAAAGCCTTCCCTTTGGGTAGTGGGCAGTGTGGTGTTGGTAGAGGACTCTTGGACGTGTTTATGAAAGCCTTCCCTTGGGTGGTGGGCAGTGTGGTGTTGGTGGAGGACTCTTGGACATGTTTATGAAAGCCTTCCCTTGGGTAGTGGGCAGTGTGGTGTTGGTGGAGGACTCTTGGACATGTTTATGAAAGCCTTCCCTTGGTTGGTTGGCAGTGTGGTGTTGGTGGAGGACTCTTGGACATGTTTATGAAAGCCTTTCCTTGGGTGGTGGGCAGTGTGGTGTTGGTAGAGGACTCTTGGACATGTTTATGGAAGCCTTCCCTTGGGTGGTGGGCAGTGTGGTGTTGGTAGAGGACTCTTGGACATGTTTATGAAGCCTTCCCTTGGGTGGTGGGCAGTGTAGTGTTGGTAGAGGACTCTTGGACATGTTTATGAAAGCCTTTCCTTGGATGGTGGGCAGTGTAGTGTTGGTAGAGGACTCTTGGACATGTTTATGAAAGCCTTTCCTTGGGTGGTGGGCAGTGTGGTGTTGGTAGAGGACTCTTGGACATGTTTATGGAAGCCTTCCCTTGGGTGGTGGGCAGTGTGGTGTTGGTAGAGGACTCTTGGACATGTTTATGAAAGCCTTTCCTTGGATGGTGGGCAGTGTAGTGTTGGTAGAGGACTCTTGGACATGTTTATGAAAGCCTTTCCTTGGGTGGTGGACAGTGTGGTATTGGTGGAGGACTCTTGGACACATTTATGAAAGCCTTCCCTTGGGTGGTGGGCAGTGTGGTGTTGGTGGAGGACTCTTGGACATGTTTATGAAAGCCTTCCCTTGGGTAGTGGGCAGTGTGGTGTTGGTGGAGGACTCTTGGACGTGTTTATGAAAGCCTTCCCTTTGGGTAGTGGGCAGTGTGGTGTTGGTAGAGGACTCTTGGACGTGTTTATGAAAGCCTTCCCTTGGGTGGTGGGCAGTGTGGTGTTGGTGGAGGACTCTTGGACGTGTTTATGAAAGCCTTCCCTTGGGTGGTGGGCAGTGTGCTGTTGGTGGAGGACTCTTGGACATGTTTATGAAAGCCTTCCCTTGGTTGGTTGGCAGTGTGGTGTTGGTGGAGGACTCTTGGACATGTTTATGAAAGCCTTTCCTTGGGTGGTGGGCAGTGTGGTGTTGGTAGAGGACTCTTGGACATGTTTATGGAAGCCTTCCCTTGGGTGGTGGGCAGTGTAGTGTTGGTAGAGGACTCTTGGACATGTTTATGAAAGCCTTTCCTTGGATGGTGGGCAGTGTAGTGTTGGTAGAGGACTCTTGAACATGTTTATGAAAGCCTTTCCTTGGGTGGTGGACAGTGTGGTATTGGTGGAGGACTCTTGGACACATTTATGAAAGCCTTTCCTTGGGTGGTGGGCAGTGTGGTGTTGGTAGAGGACTCTTGGACATGTTTATGAAAGCCTTCCCTTGGATGGTGGGCAGTGTAGTGTTGGTAGAGGACTCTTGGACATGTTTATGAAAGCCTTTCCTTGGGTGGTGGACAGTGTGGTATTGGTGGAGGACTCTTGGACACATTTATGAAAGCCTTCCCTTGGGTGGTGGGCAGTGTGGTGTTGGTGGAGGACTCTTGGACATGTTTATGAAAGCCTTCCCTTGGTGGGCAGTGTGGTGTTGGTGGAGGACTCTTGGACATGTTTATGAAAGCCTTCCCTTGGGTGGTGGGCAGTGTGGTGTTGGTAGAGGACTCTTGGACGTGTTTATGAAAGCCTTCCCTTGGGTGGTGGGCAGTGTGGTGTTGGTGGAGGACTCTTGGACGTGTTTATGAAAGCCTTCCCTTGGGTGGTGGGCAGTGTGCTGTTGGTGGAGGACTCTTGGACATGTTTATGAAAGCCTTCCCTTGGTTGGTTGGCAGTGTGGTGTTGGTGGAGGACTCTTGGACATGTTTATGAAAGCCTTTCCTTGGGTGGTGGGCAGTGTGGTGTTGGTAGAGGACTCTTGGACATGTTTATGGAAGCCTTCCCTTGGGTGGTGGGCAGTGTAGTGTTGGTAGAGGACTCTTGGACATGTTTATGAAAGCCTTTCCTTGGATGGTGGGCAGTGTAGTGTTGGTAGAGGACTCTTGGACATGTTTATGAAAGCCTTTCCTTGGGTGGTGGACAGTGTGGTATTGGTGGAGGACTCTTGGACACATTTATGAAAGCCTTCCCTTGGGTGGTGGGCAGTGTGGTGTTGGTGGAGGACTCTTGGACATGTTTATGAAAGCCTTCCCTTGGGTGATGGGCAGTGTGGTGTTGGTGGAGGACTCTTGGACGTGTTTATGAAAGCCTTCCCTTGGGTAGTGGGCAGTGTGGTGTTGGTGGAGGACTCTTGGACATGTTTATGAAAGCCTTCCCTTCTGTGGAGGGCAGTGTGGTGTTGGTAGAGGACTCTTGGACATGTTTATGAAAGCCTTTCCTTGGGTGGTGGGCAGTGTGGTGCTGGTGGAGGACTCTTGGACATGTTTATGAAAGCCTTTCCTTGGGTGGTGGGCAGTGTGGTGTTGGTAGAGGACTCTTGGACATGTTTATGAAAGCCTTCCCTTGGGTAGTGGGCAGTGTGGTGTTGGTGGAGGACTCTTGGACATGTTTATGGCGCTCACTAAAACCTGTAATGTCATTGGAGGCAAGGGCATTGGTGTCTCTAAAGTAGTGGGAGATATCTGTTTCTGTTTCCTACTTTCTTTCCCTCTTATGGTGCACCCCTTTCAAGGGCTGATCTTCAACTGTCTCTCTATTTTTCCATTTTCCCATTCCTTTCTGGACTCCTTTCTCACCCTTTTACTAAGCACACACCCGCCTCTTTCCCTTCTCTTCTAGATTCAGACCGAAACCTGATTTACGAAGATGTCCCTCACGACAACAAGGAGCCGCCGGAGGCCGAGGATCTAGGATGGAGCTCCAGTGAGTTCGAAAGCTACAGCGAAGACTCGGCGGATGAGAACAAGCTGGAGGCGGAACCGGCCAAGCCGAAGGTCTCCTTCCAGCCAAAGGTAGTTGCATTTCGGGGAATTGATATCGTCCAGAAGGGCAAGAAAAGGAATGGGTATCCATGTGGGGAATGGTTGGCCAGGGACTCAGAGCAGTTTTACTCATTGGGGGAGTTTAAATGTCAATGTTTATTTAATTGTGTGCTTTTATGGCACACAATTCAATGCCATAAAAGCACACAATTAAATAAACATTGACATTAAAACCACAGAATCCTCCTCCTCCTCCTCATCCCCTCCTTCAGATCCTGCTTCTCTCCTCCTTCTCCTTCCTCTTCCATCTCCTCCTTCCTCCTCCTCTTCCTTCTCCTTTTCCTCCTCCTCCTTTTTTTTTTTTTTTTTTTTTTTTTTTTTTTTTTTTTTTTTTCCTCTCTTCTTTCCTCCTTTTATCCCTTCCTTCTCCCTCCCTTTTCTTCTTTCTTTCCACTCCTTCCCCTTCCTCTTCTTTCCTTCCTTCTTCTCTCCTTCCTTTGTGTGTGTATGAGATGTGTTCTTCCCTTCCTTCCCCTCCTTCCTTTCCTTCTTTTCCTTCCTCCCTCCCTTCTTTTCCTCCTTCTTTCCCTTTCATCAATTCCTTCCCCTTCATTTCTTTCCCTTCCTCCTTTCTTCATCCCCCTCCTTCCTTTCCCTCCTTCCTTCCTTCCTTCCTTCCTTCCTTCCTTCCTTCCTTCCTTCTTCCTTCCTTCCTTCTTCCTCCTCCTCCTCCTCCTCCTCCTTCCTTCCTTCCTTCCTTCCTTCCTTCCTTCCTTCCTTCCTTCCTTCTTTCTCTCCTCGCTCCTTCCCTCCTGTCTGTGTTGTGTATGAGATGTGTTACCTCTTCCTCCCTCCTTCCTTCCTTCCTTCCTTCCTTCCTTCCTTCCTTCCTTCCTTCCTTCCTTCCTCGCTCCTTCCTGTCTGTGTAGTGTATGAGATGTGTTACCTCCTTCCCCTTCCTTCCTTCCTTCCTTCCTTCCTTCCTTCCTTCCTTCCTTCCTTCTTCCTTCCTTCCTTCCTTCCTTCCTTCCTTCCCTCTTTTCTGTATGAGATGTGTTACCTCTCATTCCCTTCCTTCCTTCCTTCCTTCCTTCCTTCCTTCCTTCCTTCCTTTCCTTCCTCCTTCCTTCCTTCCTTCCCTCCCATCTGTGTTGTGTATGATATGTGTTACCTCTTCCTCTCCTTCCTTCCTTCCTTCCTTTCCTTCCTTCCTTCCTTCCTTCCTTCCCTCCTTCCTTCCTTCCCTCCTTCTTTTTTCCTCCTCTCCCCTTCCTTCCTTCCTTCCTCCTTCCTTCCTTCCTTCCTTCCTTCCTTCCTTCCTTCCTTCCTTCCTTCCCTCCCTCCTCGCTCCTTCCCTCCTGTCTGTGTTGTGTATGATATGTGTTACCTCTTCCTCTCCTTCCTTCCTTCCTTCCTTCCTTCCTTCCTTCCTTCCTTCCTGTCTGTGTTGTGTATGAGATGTGTTACCTCTTCCTCCCCTTCCTTCCTTCCTTCCTTCCTTCCTTCCTTCCTTCCTTCCTTCCTTCCTTCCTCACTCCTTCCCTCCCATCTGTGTTGTGTATGATATGTGTTACCTCTTCCTCTCCTCTCCTCTTCCTTCCTTCCTTCCTTCCTTCCTTCCTTCCTTCCTTCCTTCCTTCCTTCTTCCTTCCTTCCTTCCTTCCTTTTCCTCCTCCTCTTCCTTCTTCCTTCCTCCTTCTCCTTCCTTTCCTCTTCCTTCCTTCTACATCAATGCTTCAGCCCCCTGCTACTTCCATGCCCACACCTCCCTTTTCCTCTTCCTTCCTTCCTTCCTTCCTTCCTTCCTTCCTTCCTTCCTTCCTTCCTTCCTTCCTTCCTCTCCTTCCCTCCCATCTGTGTTGTGTATGATATGTGTTACCTCTTCCTCTCCTCTCCTCTCCTCTCTCCTTCCTTCCTTCCTTCCTTCCTCTTCCTCCTTCCTTCTGTGTTGTGTATGAAATGTGTTACCTCTCCTCTTCCTTCCTTCCTTCCTTCCTTCCTTTCCTTCCTTCCTTCCTTCCTTCCTTCCTTCCTTCCTTCCTCGCTCCTTCCCTCCTGTCTGTGTTGTGTATGAGATGTGTTACCTCTTCCTCTCCTTCCTTCCTTCCTTCCTTCCTTCCTTCCTTCCTTCCTTCCTTCCTTCTTCCTTCCTCCTTCTGTGTTGTGTATGAGATGTGTTACCTCTTCCTTCCTTCCTTCCTTCCTCCTTCCTTCCTTCCTTCCTTCCTTCCTCGCTCCTTCCCTCCTGTCTGTGTTGTGTATGAGATGTGTTACCTCTTCCTCCCTTCCTTCCTTCCTTCCTTCCTTCCTTCCTTCCTTCCTTCCTTCCTTCCTCCTTCCTTCTCTTTTTCCTTCCGTCCTTCCTCCTTCCTTCCTTCCTTCCTTCCTTCCTTCCTTCCTTCCTTCCTTCCTTCCTTCCTTCCTTCCTTCCTTCCTCACTCCTTCCCTCCCATCTGTGTTGTGTATGATATGTGTTACCTCTTCCTCTCCTCTCCTCTCCTTCCTTCCTTCCTTCCTTCCTCTCCTCTCTTCCTTCCTTCCTTCCTTCCTTCCTTCCTTCCTTCCTTCTTCACTCCTTTCCTTCTGTGTTGTGTATGAAATGTGTTACCTCCTCCTCTTCCTTCTTGCCTTCCTGCCTTCCTTCCTTCCTTCATGTGTTACCTCCTCCTCTTCCTTCTTGCCTTCCTGCCTTCCTTCCTTCCTTCCTTCCTTCCTTCCTTCCTTCCTTCCTTCCTTCCTTCCTTCCTTCCTCCTCCTGTCTGTGTTGTGTATGAGATGTGTTACCTCTTCCTCTCCTTCCTTCCTTCCTTCCTTCCTTCCTTCCTTCCTTCCTTCCTTCCTTCCTTCCTTCCTCTCCCTTTCATCCTTTCACAGCTTGTCTTTCTATCTGTCTTTCTTTCTCTTCTTTGTCCCTCCCCCCCTCCCCCTCCCTCCCTTTCCTTCCTTCCTCTTGTTCTACTTTGCGAGCCCATCCCTGCCTGCCTGCCTGCCTTCCTTCCTTCCTTCCTTCCTTCCTTCCTTCCTTCCTTCCTTCATTCATTCATTCATTCATTCATTCCCTGTGTTGTGTGCACCATGTGTTATCTCCTCCTCCTTCCCTTCCCCATAAGGAGATGCCAGAAAAATGCCAGTGATTCGATCAAGGAGGAAGTTTACAAGCAAAAGCTCTTTGGCAGGGAAAGTGGAGCCACAGCACCCCCATGTGGCCAAAACTGAGCACAGCCTCCAAGATGCCGAAGATGAGAAAGCCTAGATATATACCTTGATCTATATACAGTTGTCTGTCTTTTCAGTCTATAACGGCATGTTTGCCGTATATGTATGTTTGCCATATATGTATGTTCTGTGATCCGCTCTGGTTCCCCTTCAGGGTGAGAAGGTCGGAATATAAACACTGTAAATAAATAAATAAATAATAGCTTGTTGATCCTAAACTCAGCCCTAGCCTATCTCACGAACTTCCCGGCCATTGGACAAACTGGCCAAGACTTCTGGAAGTTGGAGGCCCAAACATCTGGAGGGACACTCACTGCTAACTAACACTGCTTCTAACTCGACTTGCAAATGCTTTACACGTCTCTGCCTGAAGTCTTTGCTTGAGCTGTCTGCTGCTTACTTGGATCTCTTTGCCTTTCTCTCCTTCCTTCGCTCCTTCCTCTCTCCTTCCTTCCTTTGGCTTTTGGGGGTTATCAGCAGCTTTCTCCAGACCTCCATAGGCTCAAGGAGAGATACAGCAGGACCAAGAGAGACATCTTGGCTTTGAAAGTCGGGGGGAGAGACATGCAGGAACTGAAGCAACGCTACGACTGTAAGGTACTCTTCCCTTGTCTTGAAAAGAAACAACAACCTCAAAATCAATCATCTCTTTATAGTAATCTGCATTACCAAGCTGTTCTCCCTCTCAGCCGGTCCTTTGCTACTCTCGTTCTGTCTTGCTTTGCACAGACTAACTTAACAAGAAAGAATGGCTCGCTGGGGTTGTGAATGCGACTTCTTGACCTCCGTTGACCATAAATTGGTATTATTGGAGAAGTTACACAATTGGAAGGACAAAATAAATGAATGATAGAGGTTTTTCCAGCCTGAAACATTTTGGCTTCTCAGTTCCCGACAGATGTTGACTCTCTTTAGTTGGTGTTGGTAAACGTAAGGAGCCTTGTGTTTGCGAGATGTAGGAACCGTATTATTGGAAGGACAAAATAAATGAATGATAGATGTTTTTCCAGCCTGAAACATTTTGGCTTCTCAGTTCCCGACAGATGTTGACTCTCTTTAGTTGGTGTTGGTAAACGTAAGGAGCCTTGTGTTTGCGAGATGTAGGAACCGTATTATTGGAAGGACAAAATAAATGAATGATAGATGTTTTTCCAGCCTGAAACATTTTGGCTTCTCAGTTCCCGACAGATGTTGACTCTCTTTAGTTGGTGTTGGTAAACGTAAGGAGCCTTGTGTTTGCGAGATGTAGGAACCGTATTATTGGAAGGACAAAATAAATGAATGATAGATGTTTTTCCAGCCTGAAACATTTTGGCTTCTCAGTTCCCGACAGATGTTGACTCTCTTTAGTTGGTGTTGGTAAACGTAAGGAGCCTTGTGTTTGCGAGATGTAGGAACCGTATTATTGGAAGGACAAAATAAATGAATGATAGATGTTTTTCCAGCCTGAAACATTTTGGCTTCCCAGTTCCCGACAGATGTTGACTCTCCTTAGTTGATGTTGATAAACGTAAGGAGCCTTGTGTTTGCGAGACGTAGGAATGGTATTATTGGAGAAGTTTCACAATTGGAAGGACAAAATAAATGAATGATAGATGTTTTTCCATCCTGAAACATTTTGGCTTCCCAGTTCCCGACAGATGTTGACTCTCCTTAGTTGGTGTTGGTAAACGTGAGGAGCCTTGTGTTTGCAAGATGTAGGAATGGTATTATTGGAGAAGTTACACAATTGGAAGGACAAAATCAAAGAATGATAGATGTTTTTCCAGCCTGAAACATTTTAGCTTCCCAGTTCCCGACAGATGTTGACTCTCCTTAGTTGATGTTGATAAACGTAAGGAGCCTTGTGTTTGCGAGACGTAGGAATGGTATTATTGGAGAAGTTTCACAATTGGAAGGACAAAATAAATGAATGATAGATGTTTTTCCATCCTGAAACATTTTGGCTTCCCAGTTCCCGACAGATGTTGACTCTCCTTAGTTGGTGTTGGTAAACGTGAGGAGCCTTGTGTTTGCAAGATGTAGGAATGGTATTATTGGAGAAGTTACACAATTGGAAGGACAAAATCAAAGAATGATAGATGTTTTTCCAGCCTGAAACATTTTAGCTTCCCAGTTCCCGACAGATGTTGACTCTCCTTAGTTGATGTTGATAAACGTAAGGAGCCTTGTGTTTGCGAGACGTAGGAATGGTATTATTGGAGAAGTTTCACAATTGGAAGGGAAGGATAAAATAAATGAATGATAGATGTTTTTCCAGGCTGAAACATTTTGTCTTCCCAGTTCCTGACTGATGTTGACTCTCCTTAGTTGGTGTTGGTAAATGTAAGGAGCCTTGTGTTTACGAGACATAGGAATGGTATTATTGGAGGAGTTACATGATTGGAAGGACAAAATAAATGAATGATAGATGTTTTTTCCAGCCTGAAACATTTTGGCTTCCCAGTTCCCGACAGATGTTGACTCTCCTTAGTTGGTGTTGGTAAACGTAAGGAGCCTTGTGTTTGTGAGACGTAGGAACCGTATTATTGGAAGGAAAAAAATAAATGAATGATAGATGTTTTTCCAGCCTGAAACATTTTGGCTTCCCAGGTCCCGACAGATGTTGACTCTCCTTAGTTGATGTTGGTAAACGTAAGGAGCCTTGTGTTTGTGAGACATAGGAACCGTATTATTGGAGAAGTTACACAATTGGAAGGACAAAATAAATGAATGATAGATGTTTTTCCAGCCTGAAACATTTTGGCTTCCCAGTTCCCGACAGATGTTGACTCTCCTTAGTTGGTAAACGTAAGGAGCCTTGTGTTTGCGGCCTTTGCAGAATAGGACATTGATTTCTCTCTTTTTCTGGCTCTGTTCAGATGACGCAGCTGATGAAGGCCGCCAAAAGCGGCACCAAGGATGGCCTGGAGAAAACCAAGATCGCCATGATACGGACTTTCCTGCATAAGAAAGAAACCCCAGGTAACCTTCACTGGTTTGAAATCAGTGCCGATGTGCCTTTCGAAATGGGATTTTGAGCACCTAAAGATAACGGGAAAGCGAAGTGACTCAGGGAAGGCGAGTTCTGTGTGTTTGTGATTATTGTCAACCCAGAAGTGGCAAAAAATATCATCTGGGGATATGAGATACATTATTTAGTTCTAGACCACCGTCTTCTGAAGCACTCGCTTCATCTGGAACAGTGGTTCTCAACCTTGCTAATGCCGTGACCCCTTAATGCCATTCCATATGTTGTGGTGACCCCCAACCATAATATTGTTTTCGTTGCTACTTGACACCTGTCATTTTACTACTGTTATAAATCGTAATGTAAATATCCGATATGCAGGATGTATTTTCACTCACTGGACTAAATTGAGCACAAATACCCAATATGCCCAAATGTGAATGCTAGTGGGGCTGGGGGGGGGGGGGGGGGGGGGGGGGGAGGATTGATTTTGTAATTTGGGAGTTGTAGTTGCTGGGATGTATAGTTCACCTACAATCAAAGAGCATTCTGAACTCCACCAGCGATGGATTTAAACCGAACTTGGCACACAGAACTCCCATGACCAACAGAAAACACTGGAAGGGTTTTGTAGGCATTGACCTTGAGTTTGGGAACTGTAGTTCACCTATATCCAGAGGAGTGCTGTGGATTCATGCAATGATGGATCTGGACCAAACTTGGCACGAATACTCAATACGCCAAATGTGAACGCTGGTGGAGTCTGGGGAAAATAGACCTTGATATTTGGGAGTTGTACTTGTTGGGATTTATAGTTCACCTACAATCAAAGAGCCTTCTGAACTCGATCAACAATAGAATTGGGTCAAACTTCCCACACAGAATCCCAATGACCAACAGAAAATACTATGTTTTCTGATGGTCTTTGGTGACCCCTTTGACACCCTCTCACGACCCCTTTGGGGGTCGCGACCCCCAGGTTGAGAAACACTGATCCGGAAGATTGCTTTCCAGGAAATGAGATGCAAATTGTGGAAGGACAGTGTGAAATTCCCACTCTGCAATGTTCAAATCTCCTTCCAGTTTGCAGAGACCGTCCGAAAAAACTTCACTTCCTTTTCCCCCCTCTCTCTTGTTGCGAAACATTATTTGTGGGCAACTTCCGAATGTGCTTACGAGAGTGAAACCAACTCTCGGCAGCTTTCCGGAGTTTCCTTTCCTCCCCAAAATCATGCCTTTCTGCCTGCCATATGGAAATCGGGATATCCATTGGGGTTGGAGTTCTGTGTGCCATATTTGGTTCAATTCCATCATTGGTGGAGTTCAGAATGCTCTTTGATTGTAGGTGAACTATACATCCCAGTAACTACAACTCACAGATGTCAAGGTCTATTTTCCCCCAAGAGCACCTCAAGAGCGCCCCTGGGCAAAATCAAGTCTACTGCGAAGGCTTACTTTGTGTAATGGTTCAATTCCATCATTGGTGGAGTTCAGAATGCTCTTTGATTGTAGGTGAACTATACATCCCAGTAACTACAACTCGCATATGTCAAGGTCTATTTTCCCCCAAGAGCACCTCAAGAGCGCCCCCGGGCAAAATCAACTATACTGCAAATGCTTACTTTGAGTAATGGTTCAATTCCATCATTGGTGGAGTTCAGAGTGCTCTTTGATTGTAGGTGAACTATACATCCCAGTAACTACAACTCGCAGATGTCAAGGTCTATTTTCCCCCAAGAGCACCTCAAGAGCGCCCCTGGGCAAAATCAAGTCTACTGCAAAGGCTTACTTTACGTAATGGTTCAATTCCATCATTGGTGGAGTTCAGAGTGCTCTTTGATTGTAGGTGAACTATACATCCCAGTAACTACAACTCGCAGATGTCAAGGTCTATTTTCCCCCAAGAGCACCTCAAGAGCGCCCCTGGGCAAAATCAAGTCTACTGCAAAGGCTTACTTTACGTAATGGTTCAATTCCATCATTGGTGGAGTTCAGAGTGCTCTTTGATTGTAGGTGAACTATACATCCCAGTAACTACAACTCGCAGATGTCAAGGTCTATTTTCCCCCAAGAGCACCTCAAGAGCACCCCTGGGCAAAATCAAGTCTACTGTGTGCCATATTTGGATATTTGGTTCAATTCCATCATTGGTGGAGTTCAGAATGCTCTTTGATTGTAGGTGAACTATACATCCCAGTAACTACAACTCGCATATGTCAAGGTTTATTTTCCCCTAAGAGTGCCTCAGAAGCGCCCCTGGGCAAAATGAACTATACTGCGAATGCTTACTTTACGTAATGGTTCAATTCCATCATTGGTGGAGTTCAGAGTGCTCTTTGATTGTAGGTGAACTATACATCCCAGTAACTACAACTCGCAGATGTCAAGGTCTATTTTCCCCCAAGAGCACCTCAAGAGCGCCCCTGGGCAAAATCAAGTCTACTGCAAAGGCTTACTTTACGTAATGGTTCAATTCCATCATTGGTGGAGTTCAGAGTGCTCTTTGATTGTATTTATTTATTTATTTATTTATTTATTTACTGCATTTATTGACCGCCGCTCTCAGCCCTAGGGCGACTCGCGGCGGTGCACAACATATAAAAACAGTTTACAAAAAGGGCAAAACAGGGAATCAATACAACAATAATACACTATAATCTGGTTACACTAAATAATCCGCTCCGTCACATCATAGAATCATAACCAATATCGTAATCCGTATTCCGTTCCAGTTGTCAATTACCAGTTGCCGTAGCGCTCAGTTGAATGCCTTCTCAAATAGCCAGGTCTTCAGGCTCTTACGGAAGGACAGAAGGGAAGGCGCCTGTCTGATGTCAGCAGGGAGGTCGTTCCACAGCCGGGGGGCCACCACCGAGAAGGCCCTTTCTCTCGTCCCCGCCAGACGTGCCTGTGAAGCAGGCGGGATCGAGAGAAGGGCCTCCCCAGACGATCTCAAGGCCCTCGTGGGCTCATAGGCCGAGATGCGGTCCGAAAGGTATTTTGGGCCGGAACCGTTTAGGGCTTTGTAGGATAGCACCAGCACCTTAAATTGTAGGTGAACTATACATCCCAGTAACTACAACTTGCATATGTCAAGGTCTATTTTCCCCCAAGAGCGCCTCAAGAGCAAACAGGTAGACAAAAAAACAAAGAACACCACAAACTAACAAGATCAGAAAACAAATCAAAAACACAAAATAAGAGCAAAACACACAAAACCACACTTAAAATAGCATCATAAAAGCCACAAAAACCAAATCCAGCTGAATAAAAATTATCTAATACACAAACACACTAAAAACACAACAAAAACAACAAGCAAAACTAAAAACAACATCAACATCTAATCACACAAAAAAAGAGCACAACACACAAAAGCAAAAAAACACCAACACATCACATGTAGGTGAACTATACATCCCAGTAACTACAACTCGCAGATGTCAAGGTCTATTTTCCCCCAAGAGCACCTCAAGAGCACCCCTGGGCAAAATCAAGTCTACTGCGAAGGCTTACTTTGCGTAATGGTTCAATTCCATCATTGGTGGAGTTCAGAGTGCTCTTTGATTGTAGGTGAACTATACATCCCAGTAACTACAACTCGCAGATGTCAAGGTCTATTTTCCCCCAAGAGCACCTCAAGAGCGCCCCTGGGCAAAATCAAGTCTACTGCAAAGGCTTACTTTGCGTAATGGTTCAATTCCATCATTGGTGGAGTTCAGAATGCTCTTTGATTGTAGATGAACTATACATCCCAGTAACTACAACTTGCATATGTCAAGGTCTATTTTCCCCCAAGAGCGCCTCAAGAGCGCCCCTGGGCAAAATCAACTCTACTGCAATGGCTTACTTTGCGTAATGGTTCAATTCCATCATTGGTGGAGTTCAGAATGCTCTTTGATTGTAGGTGAACTATACATCCCAGTAACTACAACTCGCATATGTCAAGGTCTATTTTCCCCCAAGAGCACCTCAAGAGCGCCCTGGGCAAAATCAACTATACTGCAAAGGCTTACTTTGCGTAATGGTTCAATTCCATCATTGGTGGAGTTCAGAGTGCTCTTTGATTGTAGGTGAACTATACATCCCAGTAACTACAACTCGCAGATGTCAAGGTCTATTTTCCCCCAAGAGCACCTCAAGAGCGCCCCTGGGCAAAATCAACTCTACTGCAAAGGCTTACTTTACGTAATGGTTCAATTCCATCATTGGTGGAGTTCAGAGTGCTCTTTGATTGTAGGTGAACTATACATCCCAGTAACTACAACTCGCATATGTCAAGGTCTATTTTCCCCCAAGAGCGCCTCAAGAGCCCCTGGGCAAAATCAACTATACTGCGAATGCTTACTTTGCGTAATGGTTGAACCGCCCCTGTTTGCCGAGGCCGAAAACCCCTTAAATTATGAAGAAGGGGGAAGGAAGTAAATAGTGTTTCAATTAGTATGTTAATTTTTAAACCAACACCGCTGTTGTAGGAGACGGCGAGCCAAGCAGGAGCGTCCCAGACGTAGGACGGAAGCGCTCCTTGTCCTGGACCGGGGAACTCTCCAGGGCCCAAAAGCCCGGCTCCGAGATCGGTACGGATCGTGCCCTATTGGCTTGGATCCTTGCCTCGGTTTTGCCTGCTCAGACGCATAGCCCGGCTTGCTGTGGAGTGTGTGTGTTTGCCGCAAAAGGAGAGATGCTGGGGATCCTGCCTTTTTCGGTCATTACTTTGCACATGTCCAGAGGTGCTTTCCTCTCTGGCCAGTCGTGGTCAGTTTGGAGGCAGAAAGCCTTGCTCTTTGGTGCATCATATGGTGCATATCTGTTTTGAATATATATATTTATATATAATGAATAATAATAATACCATTGGGTTGTTGTAGGTCTTTTCGGGCTATATGGCCATGGTCTAGAGGCATTCTCTCCTGACGTTTCGCTTGCATCTATGGCAAGCATCCTCACTACCTCTGAGAATGCTTGCCATAGATGCAGGCAAAATGTCAGGAGAGAATGCCTCTAGACCATGGCCATATAGCCCGAAGAAACCTACGACAACCCAGTGATTCTGGCCATGAAAGCCTTCGACAGTACAATAATACCATTATTATTATTATTATTATTATTATTATTATTATTATTATTAGGAAGTGTCCGACGTGTGATCCAACACAACAGCCAGCAGAGTGATCTCGTCTGCTGTGAACTCCTCTTGTTGTGTTTCAAATAATAATAATAATAATAATAATAATACCACAACACCACACCCATAATAATGAAAATAATAATACCATAAAGATAACCGTAATAATAAT